AAAGACAGGCATATGAGTTGCACATTTACCTCTGGTAGATACACTCCTTGGAGAGAACAATCATGGGAGAAAGAAGGGCTGCTTATGCACAGGGAGACAGTTCAGGGGGCAGGAGTGCATGGAGGGATGGACACAGGGAAGAGGTAACTATGGCAAGGAAGTGGGAGGGGAGCTGTTGAATTGTGGTAAATTGTGGTCAATGTCATGAGACAAAGTGTATGTGAACTGCTGTATGGAAAGTGAATTTGCTCTGCAAACCTTCACCCAAATACAAAAAAAAAAAGGTATGCCCCTCTGACTGCTAACTAGAAAGCTGCTGGTTCAAACCCACCAGCCACTCCTGGGAAGGAAGACTGGGCAATCTACTCCCGTAGAGATACTGCCTGGGAAACCCAAGGAGAGGTCGCTATGAATCTGGAAGCGACTCTTGGGCGGTGAGCTTGGTTTTTTTCAGTTTGCGCCTCTCACGGCTGCTTCTGAGGGTCTAGGCCACGCCCACTGAGCTCATGGTTCTGCGAAGGCTCTAACAGGCATGTGACCCTTTGTAAAAGAGAAGTCATATCAACCTCACCTTATAAGGCTATTAGGTCTGCCCACCCGCGGGTGGAAGGCTGCTCTCCTCACCACTAATCCTTGTCCACGTGTCATCCACTGCACTGCTACAAGAAATTATACCAGCCACAGGGCACTGATGCGTGTCCTGCCCTTGTAAGTCAGTAGGGAGTCTGCGTGGGGAACACTCGGTCCACAAGGGGTGGGGTGTATGGGGACAGAGGGGAGTGCCTGTGGGGGACGAAGACAAGGAGGGGCGTGCTTGGAGGCAGAATCTTGAGCGGCCGAAGGGGGTAGATGTGCCCTCGCTGGGCCCCTCACCTGCCCACAGGGCTGGGTCAGCAACTCCCCATATGGCTGCACAGGTTCCTGCTGGTGGAAGGTGACCAGGGCATCCAGCGAGGCGTGGGTCACCCTCTCCCCAGGAATCACAATGCTTCCGTCGTCCAGGAGTTTCACCATGAAGTGACGGCAGCAGCCGTGGGCCCTGCAGGGACACGGCCCAGGCTGGGACATTCTTACTGAACACCTCTACCCCCACCCCAGCTCCAGAGCTGGGACACCCCTACCTCCATCCCAGCCCCAAGCTGGCATTGCCATGGCAACTGGGGTGCCCAGCCCCTATCTTGACTTCTCCACTAACTAGCTGGGTGACTCCTCACTGTGCCTCAGTTTTTCCCATATGCATCATGGAGCTACCCTCCCAGAGTTCTTTCAAGTATGAAACAAGCTACTTGAAAACAAGGCAAGAGCTTACCTCAAGTACCTGGCTGGAGGTCAAGATTGGTAGAAATTATAACAGTCACTATTGGAGCCAGGTCCCGGCCTAGGGCCATATGCCCAGTACACAACAGGTGCTCAATAACTAAAACCAAACCCACTGCCGTCGAGTCATTTCCAACTCATAGCAACCCCTCCTTGGATTTCCAAGGCAGTATCTCTATGGAAATAGATCACCCAACCTTCCTTCCAAGGAGTGCCTGGTGGGTTTGAACCGCCAGCCTTCTGGTAGCAGTCAAATGCCTTAGGTACTATGCCACTAGAGCTCCCTGGTGCTCAATAAATGCTCCAATAATCAATGAAGGTATTTATTAAAGTCTTACTCTGTGCTTCTGATATCTTATTTGACCTTCACATCTGGATGAATTCAGTCTCTGTACTGTCACTTTCCGTTGAGTTGACTCTGACTCTCGATGGCCCCATGTGTGCACAGTAGACTTGCTCCATAGGATTGTCAAGGCTGTGACCTTTTGGAAACACATCACCAGGCCTGTCCTTCTAGGTGCCTCTCGGTGGACTCAAATCCTCAACACTTCAGTTAGTCCAGTGCTTAACCATCTGCACCACGCAGGGACACGTGAATCAAATCTTGTTTTTGTTATAGTTGTCGGGTGCCGTCGCGTTGGCTCTGATAGTGACCCTACGTGAAACAGAATGAAACCCTGCCTGGTCCTGCATCAGCCCCACAGTTGTTGCAATGCTTGAGCCCATTGTTGCAGCCACTGTGTCCATTCATCTCATTGACGGTCTTCCCCTGTTTTGCAGACCTTCTATTTTACCAAGCCTGATACCCTTCCCCAGGGACTGGTCTCTTCTGATAATATGACCAAAGTATGAGAGATGACGCATCACCATCCTCGCTTCTAAGGAGCATCTGGCTGTACTTCTTCTGAGACCGATTTGGTCATTCCTCCGGCAGTCCACGGTGTTTTTGATACTCTTTGCCAGCACCACAATTCAAATGCACCAGTTCTTCTTTGGTCTTCCTTATTCATTGTTCAGCTTTCACATGCATGTGAGGGGATTGAAAATACCATAGCATGGGTCAAGCACACCTTAGTCTTCAAACTGACATCTTTACTCTTGAATACTTAAAAGAGGTCTTTTGTAGCAGATTTACCCAGTGCAATACGATATTTGATTTCTTGACTGCTGCTTCCATGGGCAATGACTGTGGATCCAAGTAAAATGAAATTGCTGACACCTTCAATGTCTTCTCCATTTATCATGAGGTGGCTTATTGGTCCAGTTGTGAGGATTTTTTTTTTTTCTTTATGGTGAGGTGTAATCCATACTGAAGATTGTAGTTTTTGATCTTCATCATTAAGTGTCAAGTCTTCTTCATTCTTCATGCCAAGAATTAAATCTTAGCATTCCCATGTTAGACATGAGGACTGAGGGAAGCCCAGAGAAGCTGAGTGACTTGCTGTAGGTCACATAGCATGTAAGTGGTAGGGGAGACCCTTGAACCTGAGACTATGAGACTCAGAGCCAAGCTTTCCCCACTATGGGTAACTGTAATGGAGCCATTGAGTTCCTCTGGCCAGGAATCTTTTGGATTTGCCTTTTGAAAAGCAGTTTGTGTTTCTGAATCCTCTGAGATGTCAGATCAGGCTTTGAGGTCTCAAGGAGCCAGGTTGTCCTGGGTCTCCCTAATACCCATGGCTCCTGGAGTGGAGTCAAGCTGATGGTGGGACAGTGGTGGGACAGCTCTGGTGCCCCAGCAGCCCCTTTTCTGAGACAGTCCCAATTGTAGCCTGCTGATTACAGCCAGATCTGCCACTGCTCACTCTTCAGTTGGATCTGGCCAGCCCTCACATCAATTGCTCCCTGAGACATGGCATGAATCACCCTTTACCCCCCCCATCAAGGAAGCCCAGAGCCTGTCTCCCCCTTACCCCAGCCCCTACCCTGGCCTTACTTGTAGGAGAGCGTGTAGCCCACATGGCTGTGGCTGACCCTGATGAGAAAGGATCCCAGTGGCTGTGGCTCCAGCAAGTTCTCGGCAGCTCTGGAAAGACACGCACAGGAGGGAGATGGTCATGGTCTAGACACCCAGCACTCAGGCCAGACACCAGGTGCACTCGTCACCCCAGGACTGATGTTCCCCCCAACCCTGCACCATGAAAGGTGATGCCTTTTGGTTTTCTAAATGAACTGGAAAAAAAGCCAAACCAGTTGCCATCACGTCAACTCATGGAGGCCCCCGTATGTCAGCATAGAATCACACTCCCTAGTTTTCAATGGCCGATTTTTCAGAAGGATATCTCCAGGCCTTTGTTCCAAGGCTCCTCTGAGTGGCCTCAAACCACCAACCTTTGGGCTAGCAGCCAAGCACATTCACCCAGGGACTCCTCTAAATGAACACATAACCTGAAACCATTTCTTCTCGGTTGTTTCAGACCTTGGAATGTTCAGGGAAAGGGATGTCCCCCCACAGGTGGCAGGAGGTCTCTGAAGACCTTCCTGCATCCCATAGCAGACCTTCTCCTACCTCCCATAGCCTCTGTCTGCCTTCTCAGTGCCTGGAATCCCCCCATTAATGTGTCTTTGAGTGGATCAAGGTGTCACAGGTAGCAAAGCAGGAGTTGTCCCTCGGATGCGTTTGGGTTCATAACCAGCTCTGCCACTCATTAGCTGTGTGACCCCGGGAAAGCCTATACCCCTCTCTGATTCTCAGCTTCCCTAAGGGCAAAGTAACCCCTCACTCTCAGGACTGATGGGAGAATGGATGAAACACATCAACGTTGTGGTATTGGGACCTGTTAGCTCCTATGTTGCTGTTCTCGTTACTCCTACCACCTGTTGCTGTCAAGTGGCTTCTGACTCATGGCAACCCCGTGTGTTCCAGAGTAGAACAGCTCTGTAGGGTTTTCTTGGCTGTCATCTTTACAGAAGTAGATTGCCAGATTGTTTGAACCCACTGGGTGGGTTCAAACTGCCAACCTTTTGTTAGCAGCCAAGTGCAAGCCATTTGCACCACCCAGGGACCATAGTATTTTTATTACTATAATAATTTATTGTGATGACTGCTGCTCTTATATGGGGTTCACAAAGGGTAAGGGACCTCCTGTGAGACAAGCTAGGGAGTCTCCAGGCCTCACTGCCCAATATGCAGGCCACTGGCCACTTAACACTCTTGAATACTTGAAACATGGCTGGTCCAAATCCAGATGTGTGTGAGTGCAAAACAGATGTGGATTTCAGATGTAGATTACAGATGTGGATTTCAGAGACACAGAGCAACTAAAAGAACAGTAAAACATCTCATGAGTAATGTTTTAGTCCTGATGACTTGTTGAAATGATAATATTTTGGATATGCTACATTCAATATAATATATATTCTATGAATATATGTTAAATATTAACATATGTTATGAATATGAATGCATTATATAAATATATGTTAAGATATTTGATGAAAAAAAAACCACATTGCTGTCAGGTCCATTCTGACTCATGGAAGCCCCATGTGTTAAAGCAGAACTGCTCCATAGGGTTTTCTTGGCTGCGATCTTTAGGGAAGCAGACTGCCAGGCCTTTCTTCCTTGGCATCACTGGGTGGATTTGAACTCCTGACCTTTCAATTAGCAGCTGATCACAAACCACTTGCACTGCCCAGGGATAAAAATATATAAACACATATGAAAATTAATTCCATGCATTTCCTTTTATGGATTTCAGTGTAGCTACCAAAATATTTTAAATTGCATATGTGGCAAAATATTGCCCAGCATTGTCCTGGAGCTCAGAGACCATCCGCAGTCCCTCTCTGTGACCTTCATGGGGTTCTCTTAATTTCCTGCATGCCACAAGTGGCACTAAATGGTCTTCCCTTCATCTGTTTAGGGGTGCCTGACAAGGGGGGTTTCTTTATGTCCTCAGAGGCCACAGTCTAATGGAGAAAGGACCCACTGGGTTGCATCACTGTTGGACTAAGAGCAGCTGCTTGGGGCACTGTTAAGAACTCTGAGGCTGTAACTTGTCGCCATTGGGGCACTGTGTTAAGAAGGATTCTGAGGCCATGAAGATTGGTGAAGTCTGTCCTGGGTGAGGGAGGTGGGCTGCCATATCCCTGGTGGTGCATGGACATTTGTAAATACAAAGGTGAGGCTCAGAGAGGGAAATGGCTTGCCCAAAGTTACCCAGCGAGTCCATGGGAGAGGCAGGATTCAACCCTAGGTCTGCATGCCAAGCTCTGACTTCTGCAAACCTGTTTGGGAGGGGGGCAGGCGGGGAAAAGGGTGAAGGGCAAGGTGTTATCCTCACTCTCTGGAGATGGCACCGTGAAACCACGTGGGGACCCCGTCTTGGGCCAGCTGACCCATCTGGGTGTGCACGAACCAGTCCAGCCTTGGAGGCAGCGGTGGGGGCAGATTACTGTCCTCTGTCATAGCTTCCTAGGAAGGGAACCTAGGGGAGGGAGGAGAGAGAATCAAGACTGGTTTCCACCCCAAACCTTTGGTCTCTTATTGTAGCTTATGTTGCCACTTCCTCCAAGGAGTCCTCCAGGTTTGTGTTTCTTAAGCACTTACTATATGCATCTTAGTCTGCAAGCTCTGCCAAAACCTGCTCAGCATCATGGCAACATACAAGCCACCAGTGACAGACAGGTGGGGCACTGACCAGGAATCGAACCCAGGTCTCCTGTATGGAAGGTGAGAATTCTATCACTGAGCCACTGGTGCCCTCTCTTTCACTCTCATCATGTCATTAACATGATGCTAGGAAGTTCTCTTTATAAATACAAACCAAACTCACTGCCATTGAGTCGATTCGACTCATAGCGATCCCTCCTTGAGTTTCTGAGCTGGTATCTCTATGGAAGTAGATTGCCCAATCTTCCTTCTGAGGAGTGGTTGGTGGGTTTGAACCACCAGCCATCTGGTTAGCAGTCAAATGCCTCAGGCACTACACCACCAGAGCTCCCAAGTATATTTAAATTCCAGGACCCAAACTCAAAACCAAACCCACTGCCATCCAGTCAATTCTGATTCACAGTGAACCCCATTGGGTTTCCAAGGCTGTAAATCTTTTTTTTTAAATTGTGATTTGGGTGAAAATTTACAGAGCAAATTCACTTTCCATACAGTAGTTCACATACACTTTGTCTCATGACATTTACCACAATGCAACAGCTCCCCTCCCACTTCCTCCCAATAATTACCTCTTCCCGGTGTCTACCCCTCCATGGACTCCTGCCCCCTGAGCTGTCTCCTTGTGCATAAGCAGC